TGATGATAAACGACAAATTAAGTTGAATACATTTTATAAGTCATCATTTATTACGTCGAGAAACAGTTAATGACAAGGAGAACTGCATTTAAGTATAAAAGCCAAAATATAATTTTGAGATAAAAACAAAAATTAAAATCTCGCTACGAAAAAAGCTGCAAATGCATGATTTGTGTAAAAAACTTTAGTAGTGTTTTGAATTTGAACGTGTGTATCTGTTTGTGTTTTATCGTGTAAATTTATTTATTTAGTAGAAAAAAATTGAAAAGGAATAGTTTTATAAATATTTTTTATTTTATTTATTTTAGTGTATTTCTTACTTATTTATTATTCATTATTTGTTTTATTCATTCTGTTTTTTTCTACCAAACCCCACGCTTTAGTAGGTCCATATATTTTATTTTAGTCTTTCATCAAGAAAATAAAATAAGAGAGTATTTCCTCGTTCACTTCACAGCTACTCACGACGATAAATATATTTACTAACTATTATGGAAATTAAATCGTGTCCCTACTACCTCACATAAGATACGGGGTTTCTTTAATGAGAAAGAAAGAGTTAGGTTTGAAGAGATATTTATCAAAAATAATTTTTATAAAAAAAACTATTTCTTTATAATTAAGTTAACATTATTTTAGCAACAAAATTTGTACATTTTTTTTATATAGTTTCCTTCTAATTTTATTTTTAACTTACGAGTATAAATTAATTTGAACATGTTAAAAAGTTAATTTACATATTTTATATTTTAAAAAACTTCATATGAAACAAGTCCTATAGTTCAATTAAACTACCTCACTGTCGTATTTTTATCACGTCATATATTATTATATTTACACTTCTCCTTTACTAAGTATTAAGTAGGATTAAAACATCAGCAAGCAAACATCATTTCATGGTCTACCAACACTATGTTTTTGTAATCTCAACTAATCTCCACATTATATGTGTGTATATATATATATAGTAATTGATTAAAAAAGTAATAGCATTTGATTATATATCATATATAAATTAATAAAAATAATAATAACAATTTGTATATCCACTTGATAAATTCTGTCTGAGAAATATTAGATATAGAGGGTAAAAGAAGCCCCACCCAAAGATGAAAAAGTTGATTCTGAAATATGTCGACAACATTAGAAACATAAATGTAAGAATAAATGAGGGAAAACATTATTATTTGTTGAGATTTTGTCTGAGATGGAGAGAGGCCCTGCAGAGAGGGCAACTAGGGTGTGCAGCGAGCCACAAGTCTAAGCACTGAGAATGAAAGACATGTTCACATTGACTCAAAACCTTCAACTTTTCATTACCTTGGAAAAGACTCAAACATATGCAGCATTCTTGTTTCTCAAAACCAACTATGCTTGCTGAAGACGGTACCATGATGTTGTTTGTTAGCTCAATTCCAACCCATTGAAGATCAGGTAGGGGAGAGACCACTGTGGTTGCTGTGGACCTTCCATGATGTGAGAAACAACGGCGACAGAAGTGGATGCACAAGAAGAGCGAAGGAACAAAGATGAAAACAGCGAAAAACAGGAGCAATAAGAGGAAGCTTTGTCCATAAGAGTGAAAAAAGGATGAAGCATTAATGTGCAATTGAATTAAGTGTTGTTGTTGCGAGGCCATGTTGGTCAGAGGCTGAGGTGTGTGTTAGAGAGAACAGTGAAATAAGATGAAGGGTGAGAGAGTTTGGGTAGAAAGTTAGATTGGAAATTAATAGTGTAAGATGAAAGGAGGAGGTAGTGGTTGGCCTGTGAGTCCTCTGTAAGGTGGTTGTGAGCATTTGTGATCATATCTGTCTTTATCAGTTAGGAAAATACCATGTCTATTCTACCTTAAAAAAATGAAACATAATTAAATAACACATACTCTTTTTTTTCTTAGGTTTCCCCACTTCAAAATAATTATATATATATATATATATATATATATATATATATATATACAAAATAAACTTTTAACGTCTATAGAATTTATGTAATCCAAAATAATATTAATGTAAAAAATTATTGGTGATATTTTTGTATATAAAATGAGCAGTTAGACATCTTACCACCTTACACTTTAGACGTTATTTTTATGAGCGCGTCGATATATGACTTCAAGCTGTCGAGCTCATGCTATCGAACTATCGAGCTCCTTTTGTAGGATTATCGAGCTTGGATTCTTATTTTGTTGAAATTAGGCTATCAAGCTGTTGTGCAAAATTTAATCCTAGATGTCGAATAGGCCACACAACTAACATAAAATCCACTTTAGGCGTCTATTAGAGGAGGTCAAAGTCTAATTTATTTTAAACATTTAAAAAAGGCAGCTGGAAAATGAATCTTCTCGAAAAGTTTGACGTTGGATAGTCAAGTGACTAGCATCATATCGCATTAGGCGTCGAACTCTCAGATGAACCAATGTCTAACATTGCTTAAATTATTAAAAACCGAACTCAAAAGATCTTTTAGTGTACACATATGACATCAGAAAGTCTAGGGTCAACATCATATCACGTTAGACGTCGGATGGTCAGGAAGACAACCTCTAATTGTGTTAAGAGTGATTCTTCCTACACCTCACTGAGTTTAGCCTACACCTCCTTTTTATTTTATATTTCCAACTGTACCCCTGTCTCGTCAGAGAATATTTTAGTTTTAAAAGAAGCTGAGTCCATTGAATAATAAAAAGCACCAGCCCTTCCTCCTCTGCCGCACTCAAATTTGCAAAACCATATACCTCTTTTCTCCTCCTTTCCTCTTCTTTGACGCATTTCATATCTAAAAGCCTACACCTCTTTTTTTCTCCTCTCTTCTGGTGCTCTTCCCTTCCTCCCTCCTCTCTCATTTTTTACCATTCTTAGTTGTTGAGTGTTCGTTTCCTCCTCCCCTCCTCCTCTCCTCCCTGCTTTGGTGACTTTGTGTTGTCGGTGTCGTGGTAAGCTATAGCAGTAGGGGTAATTCTTCTTCTCACACATTTCACATCAAGCTTATTATTATGTGCTTTATTTGCGGCTTGTGCATGGCGGAACAACAGAGGCCTTAACCGTTGTTGGAATTGTAGTTAAGGCCCCGTCGCACTTGGAAGTGCAAATGAGGGAGTGTCGTAGTTGGAGGTGCGGGTGAGAGGGTGCCGCAGTTGGAGGTGCGAGTGAGGAAGTGCCCCAGTTGGAGGTGTATTGTGTTAGCCGCAGTTGGATATGCAGTTTAAGTTCTTTTCTTCATTTTACTTTTATGCACTTAGGTATGCGTTTAAGTTTTGTTTTATACTTTTTTTTCTTTCATTATGTTAACAGAAGTATACTTTTGTTTTTATATTTTATATTTATATGTTTTGTAATTTTAATTTATGTTATGTTTTTATGTTAAATAATATTTGATATGGTTATTTTGATTTTGTTTTTATTTGTTTGTTAATTATTTTTGAATTTGTTGTTTTTTTATAATTTTAAGTTTTTTATAAATTATTTATTATGTATATCTTTTTGTTTAATTTAATTTTATTTGTTTTTGAATTTGTAATTTTTATTAAATTACTTATTTAATTAAATGTTAATCATTAAATCATTATTGTACTTTTTCATATATTATTAAATGAAGGGTAAGACTGTAAATTGGGAGGTGCAGGGTGAAATAAGTGAGGTGAAGGGAGAATCACTCTTGTGTTAAAATCATTAAAAAATGTAGGGTTTAAACCCTTTAGTTGTCCCTATTTATGTGAGGTTTTCCCATTTTGATCCCCTTCTTATTAGAATCCCCAATTGAGTCCTTATAAGTGGTAATTTGCATCAAATAAGCTTCTGCCGTTAAATTTCGTTAATGGGGTTAAGTTTTTGCACATGTGGGATGATTACGTATTTTTTTCTTGAAACGTGGCATGTTTAGAGTTTAAACGTGTCATTATGTGTGGTTATTAAATTGAAATAATTTAATTTGTGAAATATATAGGATTTAGGGTTCTTTACCTTGCGCGAAGTCATTTGGGTTCTTCCTTTTTGAAGATTGGAAGCACTTGAAGTTTCAACAGTGGGGAATACGAAAGCAGAAGACGCAACAATGTCGATGGGTCATTCGTGTTCCTCTTCCACTTGCAATGAGTGTGGAATAAAGCATTTGCGGTCTATGAGCTCTCGTGGAGATGGAGGGTGGAACAGGAATGATCCTTCGCTGATCTGCCATTGTGGAGAGAAGTCTATGTTGAGGATTGCGAAAACCAGTAAGAATCGCGACAAACAATTCTAGGGTTGCCCTAGGTATAAGGTTGGAAGTGAAAATGGTGGATGCAACTACTTCAGGTGGTTCACTGATTTGGGAATTGAAGAAAGTGTTAGCTGTGAGGTGCTGGAAGCAAATGATGAGAGGTTGGTGAAGAGCTTTGAAAATGAAAGTGATAAGAAAATAGTTGGTGTGCATAAAGCTGTGATGGGTCTTCAAAGCTGGATGAAATTTTTGGTTGGGATTGTTAGTGTTCTATGTGTGATGAACATGATTATAATTGCAATGTTGATGGGAAGAGCTTGATAATTTAGGTATGTTTTGGTATTAGTTGTAGGTTTGCTCATTTAGTTCTATTTAATGTAGAGGTTGCAATGTATTTATGTTTTCTGCTATGAAGATGTATCAGTTTCATATCTTTAATGAAATGATAATTTGGGAAAAATCAGTTGAATTGTTTACTCTTTAGTTTTGGTTTCATTTTGTTGTCAGCAGTTGCCCTATGTATAACATAACATGTGCATACAACCTGTAAAACAGTTCTAATAAAACATACAAAATATTGTTTTTCTCTTGGGGCCTGAGTAAACATAACTTTAAGAGGAATTCAACTAAGGGCAAAATGATGATAAATAATAAGAGTAGCAATTGTATATTAATACCATTGAATAGTCATCCATTATTCATACAAGTAGCAATATGTAGGATAGTTTAGGCTATTACATCAAACTTTGCCCTATTACATTTGCTACTCCTAAAACAGATAACAATCTTCAACTCTGAAGTGGTTATTCTCCATCTGCTTCACCTTCAGGTAATGAATTGGGTTGTTGTCCCTCTTCCTGCACCTGGTTTCTCTTAGGGCAGTTTTTTCTGTTGTGCCTCACTTCCCTACAAATGCCACATCTCTCCAGTAATCCCTCTTTTGACACTCTGGTGCTACTTTTCTTCAACTCCCATTGCTCTAACCTCCTTTTCTTCTTAGGACGACCAGTCATCTGTCTTGTTGATGAAGGCATGACATCTAGACTTTGGGTTACCTCCCAAAGGTTGTTTCCATTAATGGGATATATAATGGAGGAAAAAATTTCTTCATAGGTTGACTTTTGATAGCATACAAGTATGTAGTACCTGGATATATGTTGAGAAACCTCATCGCTGCTAGTGCATGTACACAAGGTATTCCATTGATGCTCCATTTCCTGCACAAGCATGAATATTGATCTATATCCACCACAAACTTTTCCCCACTTTGGGACACATGTCTGACTTCAAATAGCCTTTGTGCAGACCAACTGTCAATCAATAAGTAACATTAGTTTTTTACTATCTGGGATAACATAAACAAAGATATACATATGTCAAAAATGTTGGATACCTGGGAATCCAATTCTTTGTTTGTAGTCCCTCCTTTTGTAGTCTACTCAGTATTTTTGGACAAATTGATGACTTAAATGACGTTGCCCTTGACCTATTAGTGGCCCATCTCTTCATCATGTATAGTCTGATTTCCTCCAACATTGTAATAATTGGTTTTGTCCTCGTATTTACCAGCACACTATTAAAGGCTTCTGAAATGTTATCAGTTAAAGTATCACATTGAGCTGTGGTTGTGAACCTTGATCTGGACCAAAACCTTCAATAAAGATGTATGTCATAGAAGAAATATGCTTAGTAATCAGAAAGTAAAAGTTAAGTAAAACTTATGTAAACCGAGAGTGCCAAACCTTGGAGGAATAGATAACAAGTGTCGAAAAGCATCTTTGTTGACCTCTTTGATACATCTTATCTCGCTCTCCCATTTTTGTGGGTGGGTTGCTATAGCTTCCCTCCACATAAGCTTTTTCAGGTTCTTTCCAGGGAATTTCTTCCTGAAGTTGGCATATAAATGCCTTACACAAAATCTTTGTGCAACTCCAGGAACAACATCTTGTACCGCTTGTAACAAACTCTGTGAATGAGTCATAAAAATGGTTAGATGGTATTAATTTCAATACATCTTTATAAAAGAAAAGTCAATAATTATAATGGAAGATACCTTCTGTTGATCTGATATGATTGTAAGTGAAGAACACACCTCAGGTCCACCTAGGTCTTCAATTAATAGCTCCATAAACCAAGTCTAAGTCTCCTTGTTCTCAACTTCTACGATTGCATACACCAGTAGCAACATTTGGTCGTTTGCATCACGAGCCACAACAGTTAATGGCTCACCATGATGTCTGCCTTTCAAAAAGGCTCCATCAAGGCCAATGATTGTCTTTTTCCTAGCTCTCTCAATTTCACATGGCTTTAAATAAAATTAGATGTAGTTTATTTAACAAAACGACCTTGTTTATTTAATAATTGGGTTTTAAAAGAGTGTATGTTTTATGAAAAGTTTGAATGCAGTTCATGCTTTTTACATTATCGTGGAATATTATATGAAATGCATCATTTAAATATTAACCATTTCCAGTGGTTTTATTGAAATTTAAAATAAAATCAAGGCTTAATTACCTACTTAGTCCCCATGTTAAGAAGTGAATTGCTGTTTAGTACCCGGTTTTAAAAGTGTAGACATTAGGTCCCAAAGTTGTGAAAATTGTATCAATAGAGTCACTTCCGTTAAGTGGATAATAACGGAGTTAACTTTCGTCTCACATGGCAAAGGAAACTGCGTTTTTTATTCTCTCTCTTCTGCCTTTTCCTGAAATCTCTCCAACTTTTTCTCTTTTTTCCTTTACCTCTGACCCAATGTGAAGTTAACTTGCTCATTTTCTCCAAATTAAAAGCTTCAATAACACACGTAATCAATGGATGGCACTGCAAGACTCTAACTTTAACCAACAATCAGCAGCATTTATGAAAAGGGCAATCATGTCCGGGCTAAAAAACAACCAGGTCATCAAGTTATAACCCAAACCATGATCAAAATATGGATGATTACCAAATGTGAAGTTAAGTGGTTTTCTTTTTCTAAAAATCCGAGCTTCAACAGTACAAATCATCAACCATGGTTGTCATAAGCTTCCACCTTTAAGAAATAACAATCAGTACCATAGTATTTTATGAAAAGGGAAATCACATTCGGGCTCAACAAAGCAACTGGGTCATCAAGTTAGAACACAAACCAGGATCAAAATCAAAGCTTTTTTTACCAATAATCTTTTTAACTAAAACTAAGAGGAGGGTAAGAGAGAAGGATACCAAGGAAGAAGGGGATTGAAGAATAGAGAGAGAGTGGCCACAAGTGTCGAGGGAGAGTTGCAGAGAAGATTGAGAGACAAAAGCGTTGGGTTTGGAAAGCGTGGGTTGCTGAATACCCCAAAGAAGCATGGTCTCCTCCGCAGCGGATTCCTCTCCACCAACCATCAACCGAACTTCACCACCGTACGATCCCAACTTCACCATTGGTGCCACTGCTTCCTCTTCCTTTTCCATGGTGTCCTCGCTCGCTCTGCTTCGGTTTCAGTTGGGTTTGTTTCATTATGGCATTTTTTGTTTTGAACACTGAAACAAACAACGCTACTGGGGTCAGAGGTAAAGGAAAAAAGAGAAAAAGTTGGAGAGATTTCAGGAAAAGGCATAAGAGAGAGAATAAAAAACGCAGATTCTTTGCCACGTGACACGAAAGTTAACTCCGTTATTATCCACTTAACGGAAGGGACTCTATTGATACAATTTTCACAACTTTGGAACCTAATGTCTACACTTTTAAAACCGGGTACTAAACAGCAATTCACCTCTTAACATGGGGACTAAGTAGGTAATTAAGCCTAAAATCAAATATATCATCAGATAAAATTATAAAAGAGTTGCATTGGTGAGAGAATTAGAGTAAAAGTATGGTTTGTTTTTTTCAATTAGGTTTAATGTCTCAATAGGTCCCTATTTTTGTTCAGAATTTGCAATAGGTTTCTTTATTTTTTGGCGTCTCAATTGGGTCCTTATTTTTGTTAATTTGATGCAAATAAATCATTTCCGTCAATTTCATCAAACGGCGTTAATGAATGTGTGACGTGGCCTGAGAACAGTATTAACACGTGTAAGGTCACGTCACACATTCATTAACGCCGTTTGATGAAATTGACGGAAAGGATTTATTTGCATCAAATTAACAAAAATAAGGACCCAATTGAGACGCCAAAAAATAAAGGGACATGTTTCAAATTCTTAACAAAAATAAAGACATGTTGAGACATTAAACCTTTCAATTATATATTTAAGTTGAATGCTATGTATGGGCATATATATTAGAAAATTGGTGAATGATGCGGCGTGGGGAATGATTAATTTGTTGTGGTTGGCTGAGCAACTACTTACTAATGTTAGTGGACTGCATTGCATATTTATTGATCAACATTTCTTTCTCTTTTTAATGCTATTATTAAATGCTAATATTTTATAAATTCTTTCTATCATAATTTTATTATATATAGATATGAGAACCAATAAATATATTAAATAATGCAATTCAACCAAACTCATTAATATTATTTTTTTAAAATTACTAAATAATATTCAAATATTTATTGGAACAATTACCTTATATTAACTAATATCATATATTGATAATATCAAATATTAATAGTTTGATTATATCATAAATATTTTTTTATATTATATATATATATATATATATATATATATATATATATAATATAGAATATATACTTGATTAAGTAATATATCAATATTAGATTTAATCATTATCATAGTTTTTGTTTATATTAAATTTTCTTAATTTACTTTTTTTCTATTTTTTTTTTCAATTTGCTCCTAAAAGTAAAGAAATTGGAGCAATTGGATGACGGTTATTAAACTAGGTTAATAGGTTAAAATTGAGTTGAATTGTCAGGAGATTCATTAAATTAAGTGGTACATTTAGAGCAGATGAAATATGTAAGATTAAAAAATTAAAGAAATATATTTTTGAAAATTGAATTTTGGAATGACGAAATTAGGATTCTTGAATTGAGAATGAAATTTATGAAAATCAAATTTGGGTTCTTGAAATTGGGAACGAGATTTCAAAAAACCAAATTGGGAACGGAGATTTATGTAATTCTGGTTGTTGCAATTTGGGTCTTTTATGTTTCTAGATTTTCTCTTTGCAGGTTCATGAAGAACGCAAAGGGATTTGGGTTTCCATGATTTGGATGCGAATTAGGGTTTATGGTTTAGTTTTCTAGTATGTTTTGCTTAGAGCTGTCAAAATGGGTAACAACCCGCGAGCTAACCCGGTCCACCATGGATTTGAACCGGGTTGGGTTAGAAAAAATTGTATTTTTTTTTATGCGGATCAAATTTCAATTCGACTCGTTTAAACCCGGCTCATGCGGATTGAACCTGCGATATTACCTGGGGCGTTATAAAACCATTTGTTATTTAGATTTGAAATAAGAAAATCACAAAACTAAGAAATCCAATTTCGGTCGGTAAACAGAAGACACAATGAACAAGCAATTTGACGTAGGCAATTAGGTTAACAATTTCAAAGTACTTCGAGAAACCCAAGAAGTGGAAAGGAATATTATTCAAGCTAGAACTCATCAATTCAATAGTTTTTCTATGTTGAATTCATACATCAGATATTAAATTGCATACTTTAACTAAAAACGTTGAGTGTCTCAAAGGGATACACTTGATAGAATTGATTTCTAATGTGGAAATTATTTAAAAATTTAGTTACAGGTATAAGTTCCACGTTTCATACCTATAAGAAAGTTAAACACTTTACACTTTTTATTTAGGGTGTGGAGTCAAGTAACTTCTAAAACCTTCACAATTTTTTCTCCTAAATAACCCTCGTCTCTTAAATGACTCTCGTAGTAGAATTTTATGTTCTGTCTTCGTTTTGACTTCCACGGTCAAAAAAAATATTTATCAAAGATTCTCCAATATTTAAGTCAATAAACAGTTAATACGTATGTATAATTTTTTATATAGACTTAAAATTAATGAAACGTTAATCTCTACTCAATCTGAATCTATTATCTCTCCTTATCATTTAACTTAATCCTTCGAAAGAAAACTTTATCTATCAAATAAGATCGGATGACATTGATAGAGTCGTTCGATGTCATCTATCGGAGTCTAACAATATCTGTCTGCGTTTAGCTGTTTCCGATTCTCTAGCACCATCCGATGTTATTGGTACGCATTATCACATGCCGTCCAGCCCTACTGTATACTATTCTTCTTATATACCTTTACTCAAGAGAAAAATCCTTGTTCTGTATTTGAATTCCTAATAAAATACATATAGATATATAATTTAAGTGCTATGTCACCAAGTTTTGCTTTTATCGCTTTTATGGAAGATAGAGGGAAATGCAAATAAAGAACGCAACATATTACTTTATCTAAGATACAGTCATCACGAAACTAATTTAAAAAGACAGACAGTGGAATGAAGAATCTATCTTCAAATTTCGAAGAAAGTTTTAAAGAAATAAAAGTGCACAAAGAAAAAGTTGAGTACAATGGAATCACACTTCACAATCCATAATGAAGTGGCATAGCGAAATTTCAACTGCATTTTTTACTTAAATTAGTGCGATCGCTTTTTACCTTTACCAATTTATTTTCTCATCAAGAGTAAACTTACCACCTAATAAATTTATATATATAAAGGAATAAGTTACTTAATAACTCATAAATTACTTTGACTAATATACTAATGTTTAATTAGTATACTAAAATATTTTATTTTAAAAGTTTTTAATTTACAAATTATAAATTACTTTAATTAAATTCTAATTTTTATTTTATTTGACTTTTTATTAAAATTTTATTATATCTATTATTTTTAATTTCATTTTATTTAATATCGTATATTTCAATCTTATAGATAGAGTTCATTATTTCATTATTTTAAATGTTTGTTGGGTTAGATTTTAAGTTTCGGTATCCATTTCAAATTGAGAAAAAATACTTAACATTACAAATTAAAATAATAAATATTTCATTAATGATACTATGTGAAAATAAAAAAAAATAATACTTATTAGATCTTTTCTTTTAAATAAAATGATTTTTTTAAATTTTATATATATATATATATATATATATATATATATATATATATATATATATATATATATATATATATATTATCTA